GAGTTGCCGAGCCGCTGTAGCCCCGGCGTCGCTGGTCGTGCATCCTGGTCCTGGTCGTGCATCAACCACCGCTGCCCATTTCCGCTGAAGTGCTTGGGTGTGGTAGCTTGACGTGCTTTCGCAGAAGGCTGTATGCCTTTGCCGAGTAAAAATGGAGTGTGAGGGCAAACTTGCGCACATCCTCTGTACATGCGTTTTTGTTGCGCCTGACTTTTTTTAAGACGAGGTTGCGCATTGTGTTGGTGAATGCTGGCTTAGGAAGTCGTGTCCTCAGTTCACGGCAGCGTGTTCAGCTTCCTAATCCTGGCCGTCTTCCGATTGATCTTCTTCTTTGCCTGTTTCAACGGTTTCCTCGCCTTCTGCAGCTTTTGCCTACTCGTGGCCAGGACCCTGTGCAGTCGTGGTGACACAGCTGCGTACGAGTGGTCACCGAAGGAAGTGTTGCGTCGCTTGAACACAGCTTCAGGGGGGAGTCTCTGACGTCGTAGCCTGAGAGGGGGAAGTAACCAGCTTTACATTGCTTCCAGAACCAGCAGCAGCTTGGGCCTCTCCTGGGGTTGGCTGATCAGTCGTCGATCCAGGCTGCCTCTCTGGAGGGTGAGACCTGTCAGCAGAACAACGAGCGGTGACATTCAAGACTGCCTGTATTCCACAAGACTGTGTGCCGGGCATGCATTCTTGGCAGGTTATACTGTGCAGTGTGATATGTGACCACACCTTTTATGCGTTGGCCAGAACTGGCACTGACCCACAAAAAGGGGGTGCTGGGAGTTCTGGCTTATGAATAGGGTTCCATGTTTTGGGTGTTTTTTAATTTGTGAGTATTACCTGGCTCAGTGAGCAAAAGAAGAGCCGTGATCAAAGGGTGCAGCCAAAAGCTGTAACCAAAAGTTGTGTCCAAATGCCGTGACCAATGCGACGCAATCTAAGGAAAAAGAAAATAAGAGAAAAACAAACAGCTGTGCTCACGTTATCATTTTCGTCATGTGACTTAATTATTAATCACGTGATCAAACAAAAAATAAACCTAGAAATAAATTATCCCCTGCCCGGTTTCGAACCTAGGCTCTCATGATCGCAAAACTAGTGTGCTATTCATTGGGTCAACCTTGCTCATTGACGTCAATATAACTCGGCCAAAGGTAATGCTCACGCATTCTCACATCATGAAAGAAAGCTGAGGTGCTCTCGTAGTTTTATTTTTTTAAAAATGGGGGTGATTTTTTGGTGCTTATTTGTTCTCTCGAATTTTGAGCTTATCAGTTTCTTTTTTGGTATCGACTAAAACTCGGAGTGTCACGGTACTTATGTGGTAAAAGGAAATGCATATCTGTGGCGTTTCTAGGAGACACAACATGATATGCACTACTCATTGCTAAATGGAGCACATAAAAACAATTCCCAAAGAAAAAGAGCAGCCTCGCAGACAGTTCAGTGCGGTCGGTGTTGTGGTTCAACAAAAGTACAGACGTTTATCAAGGTTCCCTGCCGTGGAAAGTGCAATTTCTCTTCAAAGCAAGCTCAATTCGGGTTCTTTCGGTTTTTGCAGATTTCAAGAAAAATCGTTTGGAGGTCATATTTTTATGTATATCAGTATATACTGAAAACACGTAACCCACTTATGATTGAATGATTGTAAAAAGCATACAGCATGCCATGGAATTATTATAATGGTGGTGGTTAAAAGTGTTGCAAAGAACCTGAATGTTTTACTCGAACTTATCAACTTGATCCCAAAGATGCCACTTTTCTAGTGATTCGTTGACCACCACTTTCAGATACAAGAGACACACCTTTGCAAGTTGTGCAACTAGTCGCCCGAAGTACCTGAAAACTGGAGCTTGTTACTTCCCCCTCTCAGGCTACGACGTCAGAGACTCCCCCTGAAGCTGTGTTCAAGCGACGCAACACTTCCTTCGGTGACCACTCGTACGCAGCTGTGTCACCACGACTGCACAGGGTCCTGGCCACGAGTAGGCAAAAGCTGCAGAAGGCGAGGAAACCGTTGAAACAGGCAGAGAAGAAGATCAATCGGAAGACGGCCAGGATTAGGAAGCTGAACACGCTGCTCCGTGAACTGAGGACACGACTTCCTAAGCCAGCATTCACCAACACAATGCGCAACCTTGTCTTAAAAAGAGTCAGGCGCAACAAAAACGCATGTACAGAGGATGTGCGCAAGTTTGCCTTCACGCTCCATTTTTACTCGGCAAAGGCATACAGCCTTCTGCGAAAGCACGTCAAGCTACCACACCCAAGCACTCAGCGGAAATGGGCAGCGGTGGTTGATGCACGACCAGGACCAGGATGCACGACCAGCGACGCCGGGGCTACAGCGGCTCGGCAACTCGCTGGACCTGCGGGAGTTACGTGAGCAAAGGCGACACGACCTGCAAATGGGTGCACAAGAGCATCCCGAAGCTTGCTTCCAGAGAGGGTGCGACGTCGTCAAGGAAGTGACTAGCTGGGGAACTACCTGCGCAAGAAGGATGGAATTTTGCTTTCTGGCACTCCTCGACGGCCCCCAGGGACCGACAAGACTGCCAGTGCGACCACATCTCTAGGAATCGGGGTGCGACACCGGTCTCATTGGAGTGCACATGTGCGTCAGAAGAGCTTGGAGCTCTGTTCAGCCTCGTCTTGCGTGCACCAAGGAGGCTGCTAGCTTTGCGTCCCTCCAGTACGCTGCTGGACGACCGACGTGAGCCGCCTCTTGTATGTACCGAGCGACGCCAGGGGTGCAGTGGCTCGGCAACTCACTGAACCTGCGGGAGTTACGTGAGGAAAGGCGACACGACCTGCGAATGGGTGCACAAGGGCGGAGGGGTCCCGCAAAGCTTGCTTTATGAAAGAGTGAAACATAGTCTTCAAGTGCATGCCTAGCTCGGGAACTACCTGCGCAACGGGAATGGAATTCCGCTCTCCGAGTGTAATAAAGTGACTTGCGCACTGAACGTGACCCTATTCACTACTATTACCAGACGCTGTGTCTAAAGATAGGTCTGACGTACCTAGGATGCAAAATCTAAAGATACGTCAGACGTACCCAGGACGCGGAGTCTGTGTCGGGTGTTTTAGCGTGGGCAGTCGGACTGCGGCCGGACGCTCCCGCTGGTGTATTTACAGCAGTCCGAAAGCGTTCCACGCTTGCGTCTTATCGACCTTGCATAAGTGGCTGGCAGCCGCTTGGCCTGGCTGCCGTGTGATACACGGGCGTGTGCCTGTCGTGTGTAAAAACGCGTGGAGTGCCAAGAAAATCAAACATTGTGTCTAACAAACTACTGATTTCAAATTCCCCGACTTTTTCAAGTTTTTCCCTGACTATTTTGATCAAATTCCTTGAGTTTTTGAGTCGAAGGATGACATTTCGGCAATGTCATTCAGCATGGCCGTGCCGACGAGCAACCGCCATGCCGCTTTCACTAGTCGTCTTCCCTTATTTAGCCCACTTTTTGAATGATTCCCTGACTTTCCCAGATGATCCGAAATTCCCTGGGAGTTCAAGGCTTTCCAGGTTGGCAGACACCTTTTGAAATTTCGGCACGCGTTTGCGGGATTTAGTGATCGGGAAGCTGCTCGGGAACAACATAACTATAAGAGAAGCTGGTACAGTACTGCTTACACGACTGTCGCCCCTTCACAGAAGGCACCCGGCAGGCGGCCGGGAGCCGCCGTCCGCCCGGAGTGACCGCCGTCGGTCTTTTTCACGTCACTACGGATCACATAGTGAAGTGGTCCGTAGTTAGCTCAGCACCGAGCAGTTCGGAGATTTCAACACTTCTCTCGCTGCTTCAAATGCGAATCTTGACGGTCGAGCTAAGAAAATTGCCCGGGCACGTCCGCCGTACCGTTAGAACTCCGCGTTCTGGTTACGTCCTACATACCTTTAGACTCCGCGTTCCGGATGGGTTCGACATATCCTTCGACTCAGCGATTATGGAGGAGCTCCCGTGGTTAACGATTGCGGGCGATGTCCGAGGTAGTGATCCGAGCCCGTACGAGAAGCACGGGACCGAATCTGGCTTACTCTGAATTAAATAAAAAAGAAAAGCCTCATTCCCTCGTACTTAACGTTATTCCTACGCGGGAGAGCACACAAAACCCTCAAAAACCGAATTCCGCTCACGAAATCCACACACTCCGATCAACGCCCACAACGCTTCCGACACGCACTGGGCGCTGCCATCTTTTCGTTGACGCCAGAGATTTGGTCTGGTTACGTCATAGATTTGGCCTGGTCACGTGTCTAGTGGTCAAAATTGTACAACATGGCGGCGGTCAATTGGGGGTCACTTTCAGCTGCCAGTTTATCACTCTAATGCCCTATACCTCGTTGCAGTAAACATACAGAAATGTCAGAGATACTATAATCTTGTAAAATATAGCCTTATTGAGTAACAACTGCGTCAATATGCATTAAAAAAAAAACTTTTTTTTCACGGTAAACGATATATAAACTTTTAGGTCTGGTAACAATGTATTTTTGCCGAATGGCCCGAATCTGCAGATTCTTTCGACTAGGGGTGTCGCGAACCGGCCGAGGTTCGAATTCGACCTGGTTCGAATTTTTCGACCTTTTCGTGAAAATTTCGACGAACCTTGTATTGAGGTTCGACTCGTGTGCGCATGCGCGACAGGCTGGCCAGTTGGCTTCGGATTGGATGGTAATGGCTAATGGATGAATTAAGGGCAGCGCTGGTTGGTTATTTCAGTTAATACAGTACAAACAAAATTAAGTTATTAATGTCTTTAGTGATTAGAAGTGGTTTCTTTTAATTCCAACCGTTCATAAAATAAAATAACCATTTGCATAAAAATAAATTCTCCAAACCTAGACATGCGTCTATCAAGGTCTGGCCACACTGTCCGCAAAGTCGAACCGGTCGAATTTGGTAAAAAGTTTCGAAGGTTCGTCGAACCGGTTCCACTTAGTCGAACCCCGAAAGTTCGACCTAAAAATCCGGTTCGACAAAAGTTCGCGACACCCCTACTTTCGACAGTTCGGCGAAAATTCGGCTTTGCCCGAGTTCCGCCCATCACTAATTATTTACGTAAGAAAAGCGCCCTTTGTTCTATTTCGTGTAGAAGATCCGTGAAGAGAGACACTCCCAGAAATATGTAACTCTTTTGAGACGAAAATCTGATCAACGTCACATACACCGAGAGGTTTCAACGCCGGCAAAGGTCGGTAGCGTCACTCCGAGACACTCGCACCAACTCTTTCGCCTCCGTCAACTTCGGAAACAATCGAACGCTCAGCCGGCGACTTTCGCTTGCGGTTATTTGCGGTCTCGGGGGCTGTTGGCCCACACTAATTACCGGGTATAAAAATAGTCCACGGGTGAGTATAAAAGCACCGTTGCACGCGAGCCCCCGATGGTTGTTGGGATCCTCATGGCCATGTACGCGTCGCTCTCGGCCGCCGTTCAAGAACGGCGCGAACGCACCTTTGTGATCGTCAAGCCCGACGGCGTCCAGCGTGGACTCATCGGTAAAGTGGTCAGCCGCTTCGAGAAGAACGGCTTCAAACTCGTGGCGATGAAGTTTCTACAGGTGGGTCCGCGCGCTGATTATCTCTCCGAAGCGCACGGTGTTGAAAATTCACACGGTGAAATTGAACTAAAGAAGCTCGGCTTGGTTGCGCGGTTATGAAAAGCCATGGCGTCATCACTGAAGGGGCTAGAACGGCGGGGAGGTCTTGCGGTTGTCACGCCTCCAGCGCAAGCTTCCTACCTTCGGTAATGCTTTGGTGTCTCGCGAGTCTCGAGCGTGCATATGCAGCCAAAGCACAAAGGAAGGCAACGAGCGCCCTTGCTGTTCTCATGCTGTCAATGACTGCAGTTCATGTCTCTTCCAAAAATCTAAACCTTTTGGTATGCAAAAAGAATACTAAGAAATAAAAGGAGGCAAAAGTATGTCGAAACTTGTTTGCCTTCACCATCGGTTAGTAGAGAAGGTTAATTTCGCGCATGGGTGCCACAAAATCGAGTTCATACTATTTGGATATTGCCTCCATGTTGCATGGAAAATCAATGCTTGTGTGGAACCAATGTAAGGGAGAAAGCATATTTACATTCTGTTTTTTTTTATTTTTTTTTTTTATTTATTTTATTTATTTTTTTTTTTTTCATTTTCTTCCTTGCAGGCAACTGAAGAGATACTGAAGAAACATTATGAGGAGCTCTCGGACCGACCATTCTTTCACGCTCTCATAAAGTATATGCAAATGGGACCCATCGTCATCATGGTGAGTCGCGATCCATCGCTGCTTTCTGTCTGCCTCGTCTCGGTTCGATTCAAACAAACCCCCTTCCACCTCCGCCATGCCCAGCACAACGGAGAACAACTGACTGCAGGACTGCAACAGATGTCGAATGAGATTAGTTTCAGTGTGGGACAACCCCAGAACAGAACTTCCTAAACTTTGTGCCACCACAGCTATCTTTGAGCAGCAGTCATGCGGCCCGTACGCTGTACAGAAAGACACGGTGTTTGCTGTAGATGTGATGACAAAGTGATCTGCAAACGCGTCTCTTGCATGTTCGAAGCATGTTTGCACATGTGTATGGTTGGAACATGCCCGCAGACTGTCCTTTGATTGATGTATTGGCAGTATGACCGTGGCTTGAGGGCTCATTTGCAGGCCCATGTGGAATGCGCTTACGACAACAATGTGTTGCATGCATCGGGGAACTGATGCAGGGATGGAACTGCTGCGCCAATTACTCCACTGTGCGCCTAATCGCTTTTCATGCGCCACACTGATACAAAAGTATAAATAAGAACAAAATTGCGCCAAAGTGTGCCAAAGCTGAAATTATAAACGAGCCTCGTCGAAATTAGCCGTCTCGCAGTTTTTGTTGGCAACACTGACATTGGACATTCCGGCCCAAAGGGAACGTTGGTAGATCCGAATCCGAAGCGCTGTTTCCAAAGGTTGCTGCCATGGTTGTACTTCGTGTCAGCTTAAAACAGTTCTTACAGCATTCTCATTACGATGCTTCTGCTACCAGACCTCTTTGAAGCAATTCGCTGTTGCCCTGCTTCATCAAGTCCACACCAGGGTGCAAGATAGACAGGTGGGGAAATGGCCCATAGAAGCCTACCGCAGCGCCGTGACCGGATTGTGTACACGTCTGCTTGCGGGTACACCCAATTTGCGACAGATGGCGCTGCGGCAAGCGGAAAAAAATTGGAATCGGATTTGCATGGAACTCTATGGGACAGTGCACAAAATAAAAAGAGAGCACGACAGCCCTCCATTGAAAATCCACGAGAAACCATCTCGGTCAGTTTAGCCGGTCGCCACCGGTCGCCCACACGGAGTGAGGGTTCGCAGAGCTCCACATAGATGGCGCCACAGAAAAAGAGAAAACCGAGGGGGACACAATCCGGTTGCTCATTTGGCTCTCGTTTCCCCACCTGTCTATCTTACACCTTGGTCCACACGCAGATAATGCTGCAAGCGAGGGCTCTGGAATTTCAGCGTACCTGCCAAGTACGCACGCTCGTGCAGTGCAAGCACTGTTCAAGGCCATATGTTGGCACTTGTAGCATTGACTGGGCCTGCTGTTGTTACTGCGTGCTTTTCTAGAGTCTAATTTTCTTGTCATTTCGTAAAAAAATGTTTCAAATAAAATGTTAATTGAAACTATACTGTTAAGTTCACAATGAGTTATCTACATGCCCTATTTCCTCGAGTTTTGAAAACCAGGTGACATTTAGCCTCAATTTTAATTCTTAAAACTGGTATGCTGCTCCCAACTTGCTCCAAGACCTCATTTTTGCTGCTTCCAGCCTCCTCCAATCTGTAGTCTTTTTCTGCTCCCAAGATTGCTCCAAAGCTGCTTTGCCCAGTTCCATCCCGGCTGACGTCGCCGTAAATTGAAGGAAGTCGTAAGTCGTTAGTCCAACTGAATATAAATCGCATTTAATGCCTTCGGCCTCCTGCAGACGAGCCCCGACAAAGCAGTCTCGTGGTGGGAAGCAAAGATGGCAACACCGTATTTCGGCGTTTTCTCCAAATGCACTCGCAACTAGAAACCAACAAGAGCACATTGTGACTCCTGAGGCCACTGTTACAGCTGCGAGGACGTTTGGTCTGACAATTTTAAACCCTTTGTGGAGAGGTTGAGCGATCCCTAAATCAGTGCGGACCCCTGTGGGTTCGTGAACCACATTTGAGGGTCCGCTGCCCTAGAGGGATCTAAAGCGTGGATTCTTCTTTTAGATCCAGAAAAAAGCCCTCAATGGTCCATGGGGACCCCTCCCTGCAGTTGGCGGGACTGTTTTGTGTGGTTGACGACATGTTTTGTGAGCTCTCCGATGTTCTTGCGACTTTTTGTGCGAAGGTGTGGGAAGGCAAGGAGGTCGTAAAAAGGGCAAGGGACATCATTGGTGCAACCGACCCCCTCAAGTCCAGCCCGGGCACGATTCGTGGCGACTACGGCATTGTGACGGGCAGGTCAGTAGTATCGTGTTGCACCATGCTTTGGGAAGACGTTCACACTGAGCGCTACAAGTGCCCAAAATTTGCCTTAGGCGGAAAACGGAAATTACCGTAGCACCAGGAGTCCTTTTGGCACCAAACGGATGGGCAGTTCATGTATAGTGTGGTTTTAGAGCGCAGCTCTTAGGGGCCCGTTCCTGGCTTGAGCGGCGTCGGCGTTGGAGTAACCAAGGTCACGTGACCCCTCCCCCAGGGTCACGTGACACCCAAAGTCACGTGACATCCAAAGTCACGTGACCCCCCCCCCCCCCCCCCGAGGTCACGTGACCTCCCCGATGACGTCATCGTCACCGATGACGTCACCGGCATCCGCATCGTCATCATCACTGATGACGTCACTGACATCTGCATTGTCATCGTCGCTGATGACGTCACTGACGTCTGCATCGTCATCATCGCTGATGACGTCATCGGAGTCCGCATCGTCATCGTCACTGATGACATCATCGGCATCGTCACGTGACCCCCAACGTCACGTGACCCCCCCACGTCACGTGACCCCCACCCCAGTACCCTTCCCTCCTCCTCCTCAAGAGCTGCGCTCTAATTCGGTGTTACAGGGAGTTGTAAACGGCTTTCACTTTTTTAGCTCTTTTTACCGGAACCTTGTGTCTAGATTAAACTTCATCCAGTGGTCTTTCAACCTTTAAATTTCTGGTCGTTGGAAGTTTGCCGAGCCCGTTAGTGCTGCGAATTGCAATGTTTACGTTTGTTCAAGCTCAACAAATTCGAGTGTTCGGTTTGTCGAACCAGTCAGCTCGCTAGGTTCAAAGCCGACTTTTGGAATCTTGCAATTTGATCAGCTTTCGCTCGGCTCAAAATAATCCTGTTTTTGTGGATGTGTCTTTCATCTATTGGAGACTTGAATTCCCGTGCTACAGTGTTTTTAACATTGCTCTATTTGATTGGCTTGCTCAATAAAAACTCCTGAAACTCAAACTTGTGAAGAGAACATTTGCCAAATTAACCAGTACTTAAACATTGTGAAATCTGAGGTTAAGGCATAGCCTACAATTTTGTTATAAACTCTGGCAGTCCTAAGGAAGGCATTGAGACACTTCATCCTCTTCTTGGATTTCTATTGGATTCAGGGAAGCATGCTAGGGCCCTTGCTTTTTTTTTTTTTTTTAATATGAAAATATTTGTGAAAGCATACAGTCAGATATTAAATTATTTGCAGATGATTGCGTACTAGTTGAAAATGATGCAGACGTCTGTAAGATGGAAAGGGATTTAGGAATGTTAGAGCGGTTGTGTGATCATTGAGAAATCGGATTAAATATAAAAAGTGCAAATACATGTATTTTACGCAATCTATTGTTAGCCCATCTGCATAGAAATTAAAAAAAAATATGAACTTGAACAGGTAGATGAACATAAGTATGTGGAAGTGTATTTTTCAAATAATTTAAAATGGAATGACCATGTAGATAAAATTGTAGCGAAGGCAAGTATAAGATGCTATATATTGTTCGGTGGAATTTTAAGAATACACCTCGTACTGTGGGACAAACATATTTTTTGTTATCAGACCAATTTTAGAGTATGCCTGTGTTATCAGGGATCTTCCTCAATGTTACCTTCCAAATAAGTTGGAGCGAATTCAAATTCAGGCGTTAAGGTTTGTCACAGGTGATTATAGCCCATACTCAAGTTGCACAGAGAAATGAAGACCAGACTGGGTTGGGACCTTCTTAAATTTCGGAGAAGGTGTTAGCGATTAAAATTTTTTCATGTATGTCATGGGGAGACAGGTTTTGAAAAAAAGGTCTTTACGCTCTGGAATCGCATCATGTATCCTCAAGGCGGAATCATTCTAAGACAGCGGTGGAGTATCGTTATTGTAGTGTCTGTTTTTTTTTATTCAATTTTTGTTCAAACCGCCCGGGAGTGGACTGCGCTCCTGGAAGAACTGATTTCCGTTATCGATGATGTTTTCTTTATGATAGACTGCAGAGAAGTATTCTAGTGTGAAAAAGTTTTACTTATTGATTGCTGCTTGTACTTTTGAAGGGGTTTTTGAGTGTGTGTTTTTCATGTACCCCCCTGCATAATGCCTAACGGCGCAGCAGGTATCTGTGTAGGTTAAGGAATAAATAAATACTCCATGTAAATATTGTCAGATGAACCAACACGCTAAAAGCAAATTGTCCTTTCCAAATTCCTGCAAAAAAATGAAGTGGTTCTCTGTCAGCATACGTGAAGTCCTCAACCGCTCTTGGCAGGTTTGATTCCAGTGCATGTTTCCAGGTGACTGAGTTGAGCGCCGCTCGACTCAGTCACCTGCGTCGCCGCTTGCCGTTGACCCTGGCAAGCTTTTTGGCCCTGTTTTTGTTTACAGAAATGCAGTCACGCTTTGTAATTTTACAAGGAAAAAGACCGACCTGCGAAATACCGCTGTGATGAAAAATATAAATTGCTACGTGCAGGTGCCAATTTTTACGGCCCATTTCAGTTTGAGCCTGGTTATTTCAGTCGCCCTTTATATCTTCACGAGCAACGTGAGCAAAAAACCTTGTTACTTTTTCAACGTTCCAGAAACGTGGTCCACGGCAGCGACTCCCTTCCGAGTTCCAAGCGAGAAATCGAGCTGTGGTTCGAAAAGGCAGAAGTGGTCCCGTGGATGCAGTGCCTTGACGACTGGATATTCAAGGAGAACTAGCGATCTCATCTCATTTTTTATATGAGTCCTATTTAATTTTGTTAGTCTGAACCTTTTTTGCATTTTTGACACTGGTCACTGCCTGGCTTTACTCATCTCGTTGGCTTTTTTTTAGCCATTTACTCATCTTGTTTGTTGAGGATGCAATCTGTACGGAACTTGCAAATTTGATGTGCATACATTTGCTGGTGTCAGTTAGCACGTTCGGCTTTACTTTACATATTGCTGTCGTTCTACGACTTTTTTGCTCTCCGATAATAAAGAGGTGCAGAAAAGTCATTGTTGGTGTCGTTTCCGTTTAATGCCAAGTGCTGAAAAGAGACAAAGTTACGGTCGGCCAGAAGGCGGAAGTCTTACGACCGCGATTGCGAAAGTGACTTTGTAATTCAGCGTGCGGAGCTGTTGTGGGTTGTGGTGGGGGCGGAGAGCCGTCGATAGATGGATAGCGGCGCCACCCTGCACTGCAGGGAATAGAAATTGAAAGAAAAAGTACATGGAGGGCTTTACAAGCCCGCCACAGCTTCACTACAACCTGTTTCGATTGCATCGAGCTCAATGTGCCATGCTTGATATTTGTTATGGCTAACGAGGAAATATTCATTGTGCGGCACTTCACGGTTGTGATCAACGGTGAAGGCATTTTCTTCTTTAGTGTTCATAGTGCAGCAAAGTGCCGTTGTGGCACTGCCTAGGGCATTTCGATGCTATTGCTGCGTGCTGAACATTCTTACCATTTTCTGCCGCTATGCGAAGCAAGCGATTGTCACACCCATGACCTACAGTAGGTCGTGGTCTGGTCTCACCTCCCCTTCTAGCCCACCATAACAGAGCTATTGACCTCTCCAGCGGCAGCCTCAAAGGAAGCGATTTACGGTGCGCGTCCCTGGTTTTGAGAGTTTAGGTCAGTGTTGACTGCGCTGGGCTGTGGGTTTTCTCGTCATTAAAGGGATACTGAACCAAGGAATTTAGTGTCCATAATAAGTGGCGCACGTTCTTTCCAAGAGCCTGCATCCGCCGGTGTGCGCGAGCACACGCAACAAAAATGACGTCAAAGACCCCTTCGCGCTTAAAGGGTAACTGCAAAGAAAAAAAAGTTTTTTTTTAAACAGCCTAATTGGGACAAGCATGTCACAAAACCAATGTTCCGCAAAAAAAATGATTTTTTTTTATCAATATTTACGCCACAGGACGTAATTTAGTAGAGTCAGGACCTCTCCACATTTGAAACTCCCGCTCTTTCGACCCCCGCGGAAGAGGAGTACGCCCCGCCCCTCTCTCTCCTTGCGTTGCGGAGTTGAACCGGCGCAGCGTCTCGACTTCCGGCAAGATCTGGCAACTACGCCAGGCCGCGGTATTGTTTTGGTTGTTATGGTTTGACGCGGTTTGCGAGCACATGTAGCGAAGACGTGACCGGAGAAGTGCCCCTGTGATGTTCCCGGATGACGGAAAGTATCGTTCGTAATCGTCGTGAGCGCTTTGAAAGCGAAGGGAGTCACAGAATCCACGAGTGCGCAACCACAAGCCAAGGTTCACGACAGCGCTGCGTTGGTTTCGGCGATCTCGTTCTGTTTGGTGCAACACGGCGATGCGACAGAGCTGAAACGTTCGTGGTGTGTGTAATGCGGTGCTAACACGGAGCGCAAATTGGTTGTTGTGGGGTTGACGTTCAACCAGATAAGTCCCGTCGTCGTCAGCTGATCCAGTCAAACTGGTCCGGGAGGACGCTGGGAGCGTTTTTAAAAGTAAATCTGCCTCGTTCTGTTTCAAAATGTGGAAGTTTCCCGACGCATACCGTGAGTAAAAAGCTGCGGGCGTTTTCATCAAAATTACGTCGTTTTAATTGAACAATGGACTCCGAATTGTTGTCCTAAATCTGCCGTTTTTATGCTTCGTGTTGGACTGCGTTTGCGCAGCGACGTGTTGCATCGTGCGGTGTGAATAAATTTGGGCACGATTTCGTACCTGCCTACAGATGCATGAACTGAGACCATTTTTACGTAGTGGACATAGTGCTTCTTTATTTTCTGTCTAGTCGCGGACGTTAGGTGCACACGGGGCGAATATCGACGGCCTCCAGAGCGATATGACGAGAACGTAACTAGACACGTTGGTCGCTACGCGAACGCCCGATTGCCTCCAGCCAAATAGCATTCCTTTCGGGGCGACATGGCTGCTGGAAGGCTCACTGTCGGGATCACGCATCTGACATCTCCGAAAAGTCAGCATTTGCACGCGCACACAAGCAAAAAAAAAAAAAAAAAAAACACAAAGCACGCCAAGCAAGCAAAGAGGAAGACGAAAGAACCGCGCTATGAAAGCCAAAACCCCGCGTCGCTTCCTATCACTAACACCTGCGACAGCTGCTAAGCACACACTACTTCACTTCAAGAAGTACCTGGGTCAGTACGAAACGACGAAACACTGATCACTTTGGCGAAACGATTAGTCGAGGTAGGCGAGACAGGCGGGAGCAGAGACTTCGGCGGCCATGAAAGAATGGCGAAGCTTCTGTTTGTATGAATCCAAACGGAAGTGCCCGTCTTGTAAACCTTTTGTAAAGAATAATAACTCTCATCTCATGGGTTATTCTTTAAACATAAAAATATGCCGCTCAAAAGGAAATTGCAACATATAACAAAGGTTTAACAACCAAGATCTAAGCTGTCAATCAAACTCTTAGCCAATGAGAACCTTTTGGGATTGACGTCACATAATCACAACTTCGTGGCGCGCGATTTAAAACGGACGAAATAGCCGCAAACTAAAATGAGTCTCACGCAATAAATATTGCTGTAAAAAATGTTTTTTCTCGCGGAAAAATTGTTTTTTGACATGCTTGTCCCAATTAGGCTATTTAAAAAAAAAACTTTTTTTTCTTTGCAGTTACCCTTTAAGATGACAGTGAAATGTATGGGCTTTGGGCCAAAGGAGAATAAAGACAAGTTCCTCATCCACACAGTGGTGTCCGGTGTAAAAGGTAAGCGATTAATTGGTCTCACAAGCACGTAGCTTTCACTTGTAGAGATGAAAAGCCTGTCTTTATTCTCCTTTGTCCCGAAGCCCATGCATTTCACTGTCCTCTCAACCGCGAATGGAGGTCTGTGACGTCATTTTTGTTGCGTGTGCTCGCGCACACCGGCGGCTGCTGGCTCGTGGAAAGAACGTGTGACACTTATTATGGGCACTAAATTCCTTGGTTCAGTATCCCTTTAAGCTGTGGCAGCCTGCGTAGGTGCAATTCCGGACACTATTGTGTCCCGTGTTTTATGGTAAATAAAGAAAAAAAAGCATTGTACCATTTTTGGGAACAAAAACGAAGCTATTTTTTGGGGAGTCCGTGCGCGACAGAACAAATGCAACTAGAATGTTTATTCCATTTTATGCTGTTTTTTTACGACGCCATACACTCAGCAGTTGCAATCTATGAAGGTCTTAACTGTGGAAAATATTTAACTACAATATATAGCTGAAAAGCATGGGTATCCCCCGCTTGCAACATGAAATTCGAGTCTCGTTAATCGAACAAAAAATTGTAACAATGCTTGAATTAGGCTAGTTGGTTTCACATTATGAGGCATACTGTGCTGCAGAGTTATACTGAACATATAAACTATGAGACGATAAGGTAGAAAGAACTAAGAATATGACGTACATGTGAAAGCGCAGATTAACAACTCATTATTTTTCGTTTCTCCTTCCTTTGCACCCTTGTTGTGAAGGATGAAGATTGCTGAAACTCGAGTACGAAGCCCTTTTGCGTTCCACTGAAAAACAGTCGCATTTTCGACTCTATTCTCGAATGTAGGGGTATCAGCCGTTACTCTGATGTGACCCTCCTGTCATCGTTAGAACTATACCTGGTGTCTCAAAAAGCGACCAGGCTCTTTAAATCGACCGCAAAAATCGGTTTCTTAACCTATCGCGCTACGAGTTTGTGCAGCGTTGCCCACAGGTGGTGCATTTTTTTCTATAAAATTTGCAAAGATCAAACTTACCCGAGGAAAAGTAAAATAAGAAAAAGGCTTAACTCCTATGAAAATGCAGCGAGGCCACCGGTCTTCAAACCATAGGGCGCGCTATGGTTTGAAGACCGGTGGCTTCGCTGCTTTTCCCCTTTTCCCATAGGTAACACCCCAAAGCTATATTTGGACGTTTTGTCCACTGACGTCGAGCTGGCGATACCAGCTTTTACGAGAGGCTTGATAGCTGTTGGATATATAACATACTGTTTTTTTCTGTTACTTCTGCTCTTCTAAAAAAAAAACAGTCTCAGGGTAAACGACGAAATTGTTAAATAGCTAATGTGCGTATCAAAGACTAGAAAAACAAAAGAAAAAACAAACATGTTTTGCAGCAGGGCCGGAAAAACCTTGATTGTCTTACTGTGTAGCCTGTAATCTGTACGTGAGCTATTTTAATAAGTTGTGTTGGTCGACTGTCAAGCCGCTCTTGAAAGTTGGTATCATCGGTCCGACGACTGTGGACTGAACGTCGAATTGTTGTTTTGCGGTGTTGCATATGAGACAAGGAATGTACCCCTATCCAGTGTCGTCGACAGTAGCTCCAGGGCGTTCAGACTGAATCCGGTTTGTTTCGAAGCACATTTTGAAGAGGTGTTTTTTTTGCGCAGTACCAAAGCAAAGGAACCGACGTGTCTGTTCCCTTCCCTGCCCTGGACCCGATCGGCTATTTTTCGGGAAGACCAACAGCGGGGAAAGTTTTTCGGGGATTATTTCAACAAAAATAATCCCCCAAGAACGTCGAACGGCCCGTGTCGCGGACTGAAACAAAGACGGAAAGAAAGCACGAGTACAATCAAAAGAGCCGAGAAACTATTAACTACGCAAAAACACTGGGTCACCAAAGGGCCGCTTATATTTTACAACTGGGAGAAGCAGCAGCTAAACCTCGATTAAACTTTCTCTCACTACGCGTGAATACTGTTCGAGGATGGGAGAAGGGGGGATTGGTGGCCAAGTAGGCTAGCGCACACTTAGCGCACACCAGCTCTGAGCGTCTAGATTCTAGAGCGATAGCTCGCGCTGCAGAACCCAGGGATCCTGGCTTCAATCCCTACCCTTGCCCGTTTCTATCTGGATGAGCATCGTATCGGCGTGCGGTAATGCATCACTACTGCGTGTTGCCCGTTAAAAAGAAAAAAAAAAGAAGAAAATTGCTCATGTACGGCTGAGACACCTAACGCCCACTAGGGCTGACTAACCTTCGGCTGTATAAACGTATACATACAACGATTACAATTACCTTATTTCGAGGCGAGT